TTTTTAATAAAGATAAGAAAGCAAAGATATACATAAATGATAAATTAATAAAAATATTACAGTATTAAATCCGTTATAAATAATACTTATGAGCTATTTAATAATGAAAACTTTTACAACATGAAGAAATTTTACTTTTTAAAATAACTATCGTATCAAAAAAATGCTATATAGTTCAAAGAAATACTATAGTTTTCGCTATACATCTAAGATCATTTTGGGAAATTTTCGAAATAAATCTTATTAAAAATTATTTTTAACTTGATTCAGTACTCTTCGTATAGCCAAAGATACTATATCTACCAGGAAATTAGTGAAAATCTTTCACTATCATAAGTTAGATTTAAAAAAAGAAGGAAATCTTGGAAATCTCGCGAATTTCCAGTGATACGGTGATCTGCACCGTTCCACGTCTTTTTGCAAACAACTGTAAAAGAATAACCTGGCACACATTCAAGAAATGTCGCGGTATAGCGTATATTGCCAATAAACGGTATTCTAAATTTGAAACTAGAGCAAGAGAAACGAGGCTGAATAATAGAAAATTGTTCAAACGTTATGACGTAAATATATATATCTATCTAAGTTTGAAAAGAGGAGAGGCCAAAGGATAGAAAACAAACTTGATACAGCAGCTTACCCAACATCGCTGTAAAAATGTTAAGGATTATATATATTACAGTATTATGAAAATTCGAATTGTATAAAGATGTGACGGGAAACAAATAAAGAACACATACGAATATTCTTTTGAAGAATTAAATGAATTTTATCCAAATAGCACGATAATACTTTAATTGATCCAAATAATTCATATGCGTTTATAAGTGAAAGTACTTAATACGCATGTACGTACATGTTAAATCAATATGACCAAATAATTTGTTTGCATTATTTATAAACCGCACAATAATATTCAATAATTGATTTTATCACTAAATAATTTCTTACAATTTATTCATATTCCTTTCGCCTAATCATCCATTCATCATCCATTCACTCAATTAATTTCCACTACCTTTTTTTTTTTAATAATAATTTCAGTTAGGACTAAAACGCTTGAGAATTATGTTAGCATTCTCCTTAATACAACAATAAAATTTCAATTCATTTTCGAATTATTCATTCAGTGTCTTCTTTCACGGGATTACTTTGAGTATTACCACCATTTGACGTATTACCATAAGAGACGTATTCATCATTAAAAACATAATCTTGGTGAACCACTTCGACAATATGTTCTGGATAAACAACTTGTACACCTAATCTACTAGTATTTGTCTTTTCTTTTTCATCGTCCTCACTCATTTCAAATGATTTCCTTGTTGGAGAAGTTTCAAATGATCTTGGTGAAGTCTCACCCATTTCAAACAATCTTGGAGAAGTATCGCCCATTTCAAATGATCTTGGTGAAGTTTCACTCATTTCAAATGATTTTCTTGATGAAGAGCCATCTTCCATTTGACTACTTCTTTTGCTAGCTTTCAGTTTAAGGGAATTCTTTCTAATACTACTTCTCCTTTTAAGATTTGCAATAGTTTTGATCGAGATAGTTTTAGTTCTATTGATATTTCCATGATCATCGTAATCATCAATATCAATCTTGATTTCATGATTTTGTAAATGCCAATTCACACAAATTAAAAATATAAAACTGCAAAAATATAACCACATGAAAATGAAGCTTATAATACGAAGTATACATGCTAGCTGGGATAGATTAGAGATATAAGGATAAGAGGCTGGGCATGCAAATGGGATGTTACCTATATCTTTGAACATGAAATAAGTATAAATTACTTTTTTTTCAATGGAGAGAGGAAGAGTTACATTAAAATTAATTGTTAATTGTTAATGATAGATTATATATGATTGAGTTAATTGATTTCGAGGAATAAAAAAAAAAAAAACCGGCCCATACCAGGAAATAAGATCCAAATACAGGATGATAACCTTAATTAATCAAGATATAAAAAATAAACGTGTTAAAAATTAACGTAACGTTAAAACGAGTCTATGTAAATGAATATACAATATAAATTCTACGTATATATTACTATATATTATGCATTCAAATAAAATAAATCTAGTATTGATGCATTTATCATTCTCAAGAAAATGAATGCGCGAATAATACAATAAATACCTCAATGCAATATCAAGTCTCTGGATATCAAACGCGCAGCATTCAAACAACGTAAACCCATATAATACTGTATGTATTAATTGAGGTTAAATAAATTTAAAAAAATTTGAATAAAAAATGTCTCTAATTCGAGATGAAAAAGAAAAATTACCGAGTATAATCCATGTAAATATTAAATAACTAAATGAAAAATAAATAAGTAAAAGCAAAAACCAGAATATTAAAGTAGGTAAAATAAAAGCTTACAAGTACTCGGCACCTTTGTTGTAAGTGATCTCGTTTTTAACTTCTTCATAAATACTGATTTTTAAAATTTCTATATCGAAATTCATAACAAGAATTTTGTAATTATAAAATGGTAGTAAATTACCAAACTTGTCAAAACATGTTTTCAAAAAAAGAATCAAACAAATCTACCAAGCATTGGACAAACAAGTGTCAAAAGAATATTTGTCATGATTAGCAGGTATAACCAAATTGGAATCGTTTTTTTTCTATCAACAATGATTTTGAAGAACATTTCCTTTTATAAGGTAAATAGTAGAGAAATATTATATTAATCATAGGCTTTTTCTTGGATAAAAACACGTTTTTTCAAACATGAATACCTTTATACAACGTTGAATTTTTCAAAAGTGGTAGGATCGAATTGGGTCACCGTAGAAACAAATATACAATTCCTGTATAAACGACAATATATAATGTATAATAATTTATAAATATATATGATCTACTACGTAAAAAGCCACTTAACCGCTCTTAACAACCTGATGTGCTGGTTTGGTAATACAGTCAGCAAGATGATTTTCAATAAATAAAAAAACACTAATATTAACTGCAAAAAAGAGCGTCACCATAAATTTTTTTAAAAACAAGAGCAACGAAAGAGTTGAAAGTGTTTAGAAGTATTTGTGGCTTCTTATCAATATTTGAGGCTTCTCATCATGTTACTCAAAGCGGATGTTCGCTTTTTTTGTGAATGCAGCCAATAACCCACATTCACACTATATCGATAGTGTTAAATTCTACTTCTACAGCGCTGTTGCGGTATTGCAATCTTTACACTTATACACTTTAGGATACACTTTCGGGTACACTTTAGGAAATAAATTCTCTACGCACATATTAGGACTCGTATGTTTTTATTTTTTAAATTGCATTTAATTTCAGACGTTTACAATAGCAATAAAAAATCGAATATGTAAAAACATTGAATGTGATAAGAAAAGATCAGAATTTATCACACAACTTGTACATCAACTTTTTCTTGAACTACTAGAGAACTGTCTGCTTTGTTTTTGTATTCCTTTTTTCTTTTTCTTACAACATATTTGATAATATTGATCAACAGCTGCAATATTACAATGACTATATACATAAAAGGCTAATGAAAAATTCCTCTAGAAAAACAGAATAGATCCTATTTTTGTATAAGATGTATTCGAGTAACAGATTTATAAAAATGAATCTGGTGTCAGTCATAGGATTTTAAAATTAGAGTTTAGGTTTATACATATAAATAAACTCTGATTTTATCAAGAAAATCAAAATCTTAAGTTTCATTTCCAACGTATGTACGTACGTACGTACAATCATCAATTGTTACGTCTTCAATCATGTTATTTCTGATCAGTTTGCTTTACCCATGACATTGCATATAGCGATAGATGTAGTTTGATAAGCTGGAAGAATAAAATAATATATGACACAATTTAGCTGTTTGTGGTAAAAGATGAAAAAAAAATTTAAAGGCAACTTGGTTAATGAGATAAAAATATTACCTTAACAAAAAAGCATGTTTTTTTTTGATAAATCAAAAAGAATGTACCTTGTGGGATAAAATTGTGACTAGACACATTTATAAATATTGACTAAAAAGTCAATTAGTTCAATTTTAGTTGACTAAGTGATAATCAACTATGATCACTATTCTATATTTTATTTTGTTTTTAATTTATAAAAATAAAAAATAAGGGGTTGAGTTTTATAGCTTAGTGGTTAAGTTTTTAACTCTCACAGATAAAATTAATGATTTGGTTAGGCTGGAGAAATAAATACTCTGTAAACAAAAATAAATTTATAATTATAATGTCAAAACTCTGTAAAAAGTTCTAATATTAAAAAATTCTTAAAAGATTTTATTGTAAAGTATAAATACTAATATAATACAGAACAGAGTTACAAAAAATTTTGTTATATAAAAATTTGTACAAATAAAGTTTAGAACAGATAATTATTTTAAACAAACTCAATATCTTGGATAGTTTAAAATTTTTTTTAAAAGTATAATATAAAAATAATACAAATTAAAAAAGTAGTAAAAAAAAGATATAAACAAATCTAAATTAAGCCTATTTATATGTTGTTTTTATTTTTATAAAATTAAAAATAAAATTTTTAAAGTTATTTTTAAAGCAACAGAATTTATTCTATATTATAAATATTTCAAATTTTATTCTGCTGAAAATAGTTATATTTGCATTATATCTTCTAATTAACTAAAAATTATAAAAATATTAATTAATAACAAGCTATATTAGTATTTTATCAAACTCAAAAAAATTTAAAATCAATTCAAAGTAATTTAAACAATTACATCAAATAACAAAAATTTTATAGAAAAAGAATAAAGTAAGTACAATATAGATAAAAAGATATTTGGTGTTCATTCAGATTTGGTTACTATAATATAATTTTGCAAAACTAAAATAGATATATTAGCTATCTATTTTTGATAAATTTTAAAAAACATATAAACTATTAATATAAGTTTACAAAAATTTAGATTAATTTATTCTTGTATTCAAATATTTATATATTTTTTATAAAGAATATTTTTATTAGTTTTACTCTTCTATAAAAAAAGATTCAAAATATGAGTATTTTAAAATAAATATTTTTTAGATTAATCATCAAAATGGTAGCAATAGTAATAACCAAGATGATATTAATTATTTCTAATAATAGCTATCTAATAATACTAGTGGCTTTAACTACTTAATTGAAATAAACAAAATAGATTTTTAAATAATATATTTTCTAGTTTAATAACTACAAATACTTCAATAAGATTAGAATTTAAATTGGCTTAAATTAGTAAGTTTTATATATTATAATTTTGTAATAATTTATATATTACTTACTTATATTAAAGAAGATACAAGTATAAAATATAATTAATTATATTAATCATACTTTAGTAAAGTTATTAAAAATATTGGTTATCTTATATATTTTAATAATTTGAATAAATAGGTTTAGGTTATAGATAAATTAGTCTAAGTCTTTGTAATGCTGCATTAATATATATATAAAGGACTTATTATAATAAGTAATTATTAGCAGTTAACTGATTTGATACATCTAAATTTTTTATATATAAAATTATAGCAAAAACATATAAAATTACTTATAAACTTTGAAGCTGTGATGTTTCTTCCCTTACATATTAACTTTAAATTAAATTTTATAAATAAATATATCATAAAATAGAAAATAAAATGCTTTTGAAACTGAATTAAAATTTTGCAATTTTTGTATAATTTAAAAATATAACACTGCCAAAAGAAAAAATTTAACAGTTTTAAAGCAATAATTATATGTAAAATTATACCCTAAACAACTCCAGTTAGAGAGTCAAAAAGGTTATCTTAGTACAAAAAAGTTTTTTATATACAAATGTCAAAATTTGCAGTGTTTCTATATAAAACTCTTTTTTTGCATAGATAACCTAATCTGACTTCTTAAATAAATTTGTTTAGCACACAATTCTATATACTTAATATTTTACCAATTTTGTTTTTTTAAGCATTTTATTAAGTAAAAGATTGAATTAAAGATTATATGAAAAATTTTTAAAAAATTTTTTTTTTTTAAAATTTCAAAAAACAAAATTGGCAAGATACAAAGTATATAGAATTGTGTGCTGAACAAATTTGCTTAAGAGGTCAGAATAGGTTATCTAAGCAAAAAAAAGTTTTACATAGAAAAACTGAAAATTTTGATATTTGTATATAGAAAACTTTTTTTGTACTAAGATAACATTTTTGACTCTCTAACTGGAGTTGTTTAGGATATAATTTTATATATAATTATTTCTTTAAAACTGTTAAACTTTTTCTTTTGGCAGTGTTATATTTTTAAATTGTACAAAAATTGCAAAATTTTAATTTAGGTTTAAAAGCATTTTATTCTTCTTTTTATGATGTATTTATTCATAAAATTTAATTTAAAGTTAATATGTAAAAGAAGAAACACAACTGCTTTAAAGTTTATAAATAATTATATATATTTTTGTTATAATATTATATATAAAAAATTTAGATACAAATAAGTGTGACAAATTAGTTGACTGTTAATAAAAACCAGAGGCGTAACTTCACCTTAACATTAAACAAAAATAAATAAATAAATTAAAATTAGTATTTGAAAGAATATATTTTTTATTTTAATATCTAGATAATATATTTACAAAAAAAAGAAATTAATAATTATACTCTCATTTTTGATATTTATACTTTCTATTAAACAAAAATTCTTTAAAACAAAAATTGTTATTAAATAAACCTCTTTAGTAATTTTACTAATATTTCTGGTTCTAAAAATAATAAAATCATTAAATATTCTAGCAAATATTAGTTAATGTTAAATAAAAATTACTAATTTAATATTAATAATTTTACTACTATTAGAATTAGAAAAATATAAAAATCAACTTTATTTAAACTATAAAAAAGGCTTACTTTTTTGTTTAATAAAAGTATAGATATTAAAAATGAATACATAAATATTAATTTCTAAAAAAATTATATAATTTATTAATTTAATTTTTAAATTTAAAAAAAAGTATTATTTTATAGTAACTTATCACAATAACCACATTTTGATCAACTAATCAGACTTGATTATATGATTTATATGAATAATATATTAAAAAAACTATATATATATAACTAATCAGAATGACTAAATTTTTCAGGAGAATAAGGGAGATAAGCTTTATAGTAAACTGATTTCAGCTAATATTTGATATTTTCTTTATTATCTTTACTATAGAATATAGACTACACAATATTTTATTTTTTTTTTTAAATATTAAGGTGACTACTCACAGGTCTAGTATAGTTTATTAAACTTTAGGGTCAATACTAGTACAGTCATATAAACAGCACCTAATCTTGTTACATCAATGAGAATATAGTTGGCTACACATATAACTTTAGTTATTGTCTATTTATGAACTCTGCTATATCTATTTTTATCTATAGCTACCCACTATTTGCTATATCTGAAATCTGCATATAGATTCTTTTTTAAACTCTCTGATTGACTTTATGCCATCAGATATCTTGTCTAAAAAGAAACCTGTTACTAAGGTCTGTTAAGTCTTTAAAGTAGACATATACTTCTATATAGAGGGTGCTTTGACCTTATAATAAATCTACTAGAATAGTTCATATCTCACACATGTATTACTTAGGTTTTTGGTAACTTATATTAAGTTTAAGGACAAGCACTTGTGGCTTTTTACTTCTGTTACTATTACCTATTCTGTGCTTTTGCAAAGTTTGCTCAAATCCCAGTATCCACTTTACAGACTATCTTTCATACTTCTGTTATCCTAAACTACCAATTCAAATAGCCCAGAAGAGCAGTAACCTGCTTCTGGTCTCCACAGTTGTTTATTTTTCTCTAGTTACTTTTTTGGCAGCCTGGTTGGTAGAGTGATTTGTCAAACTCTTTGGTTCTGTTTAGTTTTCATTACTTCTGGATGATAATTCTTTATATAGTACTATTGAAGATTTGTGCCACCTCTCTACTTGAGTCTTGCCAAGCGGGCTTCTGTATCTTAATCTGCTAGTTTTATTCAACAGCTTCACTTAGGTTTCATATGACTCATATGTCATACTAATATTCTACTACTTCTTAGTACAAGCTGGTGTGATATTGTTACAGGTACTGATCCAATAGAATATGATCTTCCAAATGCATTCTGTAAATTCAAATTTTATCATAAATAAAATTCAAACTCTAGTTTGCTATTTAGAAATATAACAATTTACTAACTTCACTAAGTTGCTACACTCTATTATATTTTTTTACTCTATATACAATTGAATTCTTTTTTTTAATCTTTGCAATATTGCAAACAGGCAAATTTTTATTAGATACTTTAGTAGTATATTCTTGGTTAATGAGAATATTTATCATATATTCAACTTTTGGTTACCTATTTAAATAGTTCTACACTATATACTATATCTGTAACTTAACTAGGAAATTATATATTTAAACTTTCTAATATCTCCTGTTTTACATCACTATCACAATTATGCTGGCTTATAACCTTATACTGCTTTAATTAAAGGCTATTCAGATCAATATGTGCTATACTACTTGTGCACTAATTTTATAGATAACTCAATAGAGTTTTCATACTACTAAGTTACTCTAGAGATAGTATAGTATATAACTCTATAATTTTTTTATATCCTATGCATTTCCAGATTAGATTTTGAATACCTTCTGCAATAGCTAAAATTATTACTAGCAGTTAGAGTTAAACATTAAATTGTATAATTCTAGTATTCATATCTTTACAAGATTTATTCTGATTCT